AAAGTCAAAGCGCGCTCTGTGTGATCTTGGACGCGCAGAAGAGTTCCAAACACAAAAGAGCTCCAAACACAAAAGAGCAGGTGTGATCTTGGACGCGCAGAAGAGTTCCAAACACAAAAGAGCTCCAAACACAGAAGAGTTCCAAACACAAAAGAACGGGTGTGATCTTGGACGCGCAGAAGAGTTCCAAACACAAAAGAGCTCCAAACACAGAAGAGTTCCAAACACAAAAGAGCGGGATTTGGTAACGGTATAGCGGGATTGGGTAACTTGTGCGGGAAATGGTAAACTTCAATTGAAGCCTTTCTAAACTGCTCCGGAGCAATCGTCGTAAAAAACCCTTTACCCTAACCCTAACCCTAACAGACGTGGCTGAGATATATAAGAGATTTTGAAATACTTACAATAAGGTAGCTTCTCTGGCTGTGAGGTATGTATCACGGTTTGCATGACGCAAGTTAAGCGACGTCTAGCGTGTTATACTATTGGGTGGGTGACCACTGCACGTTGATAGCTACCAGGCGATATAATGATGAAGAAAGTAGCGGTCTGAAACACGGCTGATGAAGGCTTACTCTTCTGAATATTGACATTTTTTTTTTCTTTCCTTAAGGAGTATATGACCATAAAAAGCAATCAAGTTCTAACTCAGTGATTGATTTGATATAATTCGTAGTGTTTACATACAGGAAGTGACAATATTACATACTCTAATATGTCTATATTTTGAACTTATAATATTAAAAAGTTAATATAACCCCTAATCCTGATCTAATATACTCTGATTCATTTCTCATTAGGCTGATCTAGTATACCTCCACCCATTACCCAATACACCTTATTTAGCATACCCTTTCTAATTATTTCTGATTTTTTTTCAAATTCATTTGATTTTTCGGCTTACTAGCTATTAGGATCTTCTCATGAAGAATTCAAAGTCTTCATGACATTCAAGGGTTTTGGAAGGTATGCAAGATATTATTTAAGTATTTTGATCGTTTCAACCAAAGTAAAGCACTATAATTTCTTTCAGCGTTTTATTAAATGTGTTTTAATGAAGACTTTTGTCCGCTATTTGGTAACACTGAAGAAAAGACTAAGTCTAAAAAAAAACAACGTTTTTTGGGGTCGTGTTTTCTATACGATTTGGGTCATTTCCTATCCAAAAAGATGGGTCAAGTTTTGGTCATTTTGTATTTTGTATTATTGAAACAGTTTCCAACGGTATTTGGTAACGTGAAGTGCGGGAAATGGTAACCTAAGCTCATTGAAACCATTTCTAATGTGCATAACAAATAAATAAGAGCATTATTTGGTTAATGGGTTCGTAATTTTTCACATGCAGGAAGATGACACCCTTGGCTTCAATAGGTTTTGAAATCAAAGCAAATGAGTGATTTGGTAACTTAGAGCGTTATTTTGTAACCTAAAGCGATAATTGGTAGCTTGTGCGGGATTGGTTAACTTGTGCGGGAAATGGTAACCTAGAGCGGAATTTGGTAACGGTATAGCGATAATTGGTAACTTGTGCGAGATTGGGTAACTTGTGCGGGAAATGGTAACCTTTTTTCAATTGAAGCCTTTCTAAAGGGCAGGAGAAGTAAAGAAGAGCAACAAGTGTTCAAAAAGTTGCAAGTTTATCACATTCTGAAAGATGACACTCTAGGCTTCTGTAGTTAAAGAGAACAAAGCAAAAGCGTGATTTGGTAACTTAGAGCGGGATTTGGTAACGGTATAGCGGGATTTGGTAACAAAGCGGGATTGGGTAACTTGTGCCGGATATATTGACTTGATTTCATTTGAATCCTATTTTACGGGCATAGGGCATTGAGAAGAGTACGTTCTCAGAGATATTTAAAGAAGAAGCTCTTGGCTACTGTACTTCAGGAAATCAAAGCCAAAAGGTCAATTGGTCAATGAAATTATATTCCTTCTTGAATTTTCGGAAATAAAGTGCTATGTGTCTGATGAGATGGGGGCCTAGATAGCGTCTGCTATAGTACAGAGTAAATTGACAGTGGAGACTTATGCTGCTTCATGTTCACGCTAGCAAGAACTAACCATACGATCACTTATTATTAGGAAACAAAATATGGGCAAAAATTTATGATATTTAGAAGAATAAGCCTTCATCAATTGTGTTTCAGACTGTTCCTTTTATCATCACTATATCACCTATTACACCTAACCTAATATACCTGTACACCTACCCATTGCCCTTTCCTAGTATACCCTGAACAATTACTCATTTACCTTGTATACCCATTACCCCTAACCATGATCCAATATACTTTGACTCATTTCTCATTATGCTGATCTAGTATACCTCCACCCATTACCCAATACACCTTACTTAGCATACCCTTCCTAATTATTCCCGATTTTTTTTTTCAAATTCATTGAATTTTTTGTCTTACTAGCTATTAGGATTTTCTCATGAAGAATTCAAAGTCTTCATAACATTCAAGGGTTTTGGAAGGTATGCAAGACATAATTTAATTATTTTGATCGTTTCAACCAAAGTATAGCACTATAATTTCTCTTAGCGTTTTATTAAATGTGTTTTAATGAAGACCTCTTTCCGCTATTTGGTAACGCTGAAAAAAAGAGTCTAACAGAAAAATAAAACGATTTTTGGGTTCGTGTTTTCTATACGATTTGGGTCATTTTCTATCCCAAAAAATGGGTCAAATTTTGGTCATTTTGTATTTTGTATTATTGAAACAGTTTCCAACGGTATTTGGTAACGTGAAGTGCGGGAAATGGTAACGTAAGCTCATTGAAACCATTTCTAAAGGGCATAACAAATGGATAAGAGCATTATTTGGTCAATGGGTTCGCAATTTTTCACATGCAGGAAGATGACACCCTTGGCTTCAATAGTTTTTGAAAACAAAGCAAATGAGTGATTTGGTAACTTAGAGCGTTATTTTGTAACCTAAAGCGATAATTGGTAACTTGTGCGGGATTGAGTAACTTGTACGGGGAATGGCGATCTACAGAGGGATTTGGTATCGGTATAACGGGATTTGGTAACAAAGCGAGATTATGTAGCTTCCTGGAGATGGTAACTTTTATTTTCAATTGAAGCCTTTCCAAAAGCGGAATAATAGAGGAAGGAGTTGACGTTAAGGAAGAATTAGGGTTATTCATATGAAGAATCCCTATTTCTATCAACAAATGTAAAAAGAAATCCAGATTCCATTTTTTCCCTATCAAAGATCATTTGTGAAAGAAAACACATCTAAAATCATTCCTTTACTGTCAAACTTTCTCTGAAGTTTGATTATCAAATTTTACCTATTTATACATGAAAAGTCAACGGTACAGAAAAACTAAGTGTTTGCTTGTTAAAAGTAAAATCAAACTTGATAAAACAATTTCGATAATGAAATGATGATTTAACGTTAATGGACAATCATATAATGTGAATAAATACAAGAAGCATATAACTACAAATAATCAAGGCTTTGAATAATCTCACAAGACTAAAATCTGAGTAAGATAGACTAAGTTTCAAATAAAGTCTTAACCGGTGTACGATAGTACCATAGTAAACGTAATCACGTACAAACTACTTATGAACTATATAGTTAACTATTATAGTTTGCTATAGTAACTTATTGCTAAATATAGTCAACATTTCTAAGGCTAACCGTGACTTCAACTTCAAGAAATTCACTTTCTAAACAATGTCCTTACTCTGTCAATTATTTTCTTTTGGTACTCTGATCCTAATTTATTTTGCATATTTAGCAAGAACAGCCTTCCCTCCTGTGATTCTTGGAGATGGCTAATCACTGCCAGTTTTGTAATGCCTTTTGTTACGTCCAATCCGCTCAGCAGGACTACTAGAGTTCTCACCTCTATCTCACTAAATGATCTCCTTCTATGTGGCTACAATACATTTAAAATCATGTAAGGTATGTTTATAAAAACTAAGATAATGAATAATTAAGCAAATGAAATATTAGAAGTACCAGATAACTTACCCCTGACGGCAACTGTGGAAAACCTTCAGGTGTTTGTGTCTTTTTCTATTTAAAACACACTATGTTTAAATATCGTCCGATTCATTTTTTGAAATACAATTTCATAATTTTAAAAGTTTTATGATGAAGAGACTTAAGTATTTGATGATCATAGAATTTTTTTTATAAGCTACGTGCTTCAGTACATCTATTTTAAATTATGATTTTCGGTATAATAGATATGTATATAATAAACAAAATGGAAGAAGCAGGGTATAATGGAAGAAGTGGCAGAAATTTTGCTTCCAACAGTCATTTGCTTTTAAAATTACAATCATAACATTTACCTTTTTAGAGTCAGAATCAGGGGTAGGGTTAGGGTTTGAACTACCTTCCTCAGTACCTGTCTGCGATATCTTAGAATATAAGAAAATATTTCACCGACATTTTAAAAAGAAAATAAAACATTTTCATCGAAGGAAAATGCCAAGAAATAAAGAGAACTGCATTAAGATATACCTCTTGAATGGACTTCAGTATTTGATGATCATAGAATTTTTTTTTATAAGTTACGTGCTTCAGTACATCTATTTTAAATTATGTTTTTCGGTATAATAGATATGTAATAATAAACAAAATGAAAGAAGTAGCGTATAATGGAAGAAGTGTCGGAAATTTTGCTTCCAACAGTCATTTGCTTTTAAAATTACAATCATAACATTTACCTTTTTAGAGTCAGAATCAGGGGTAGGGTTAGAGTTTGAACTACCTTCCTCAGTACCTGTCTGCGATATCTAGAATATAAGAAAATATTTCACCGACATTTTAAAAAGAAAATAAAACATTTTCAGCGAAGGAAAATGCCAAGAAAGAAAGACAAGTGCATTAAGATATACCTCTTGAATGGAGCTTGTCTGTGCAATCTGTTTGGTAGTTCTTGAGGCCTAAATAAAAGAAAACAGGATTTTTGAGCATCCTTAACTGTACAAATTTGAAGCTTTGAACGTTGAAATCAATATAGAAACGTACTTCACTTTCCCCTTCCATGACAGCCGTTATGAGCCTGGACACGGGCACCGCCATCTTTGATTTGTCTGACATGTGATAATATCTGTCGGCCGTGGAAGGCTCATGGGACATGTGCCTAGCTAGCACATCCCTTGAAGTGGGTACAGCCCTTCTGACTTCGGTGACAACGGATTTTCTGAGCCTAGTTGTAGAAATCGGTTTGTTTGAACCGAACATTGTATTCCACAATCTGCCGAGACCTTTGTTTAAGCCTGAATTGTCGAGTGGCTGTGGAGGTTTTCCCCCCGTGGGCCATTTAATGAAAATGGAATCCGACATCTTGAAGACGAAGTTCGGCAATCTTCTTGCCAGGTGGATATATTTTTGCACAAAGAACCAGAGCTCGGGTGATAAGCTGATCATCGCCGGGCCTTTGAAATCCGTCTTATGCTTCGTTACCTGTAATTTAAAGGTTCCTTTAAAAATTGTCCTTGGCAGAATTTTCACCAAATAGGAATTTACATTGTTACTTATGTCAGCATTTCTTCACAAGACTATCTTTTTTTTTTTTTACAAGAACTCATTTCTTTGATTGAGAGTGTGTATGCGTGAATGTGCTTAAGAGTATGTTTGATTATGTGTATGAGTGCAACTTTGGATGCAAGCGTGTGTGTGGATAACTCACAGTCAGCGTGACATATCCCTCCTCTCTTAGCTGTCGTTTTTTAATAACGTCGTGCGTTATCGAAAGCACGGCTCCTGCCCTCTGGCCATTTGCTATAAGGATCCGGAAAATCACGTAGTCCCGAACCTTGATAAATAACTCCATTGTACATTTGATATGTGAGGCTTGGCGAATCTCGTCCTCTATAGACGCCACCAAGTCAGATTTTAAAAACTGATTGATTTCTTCCGGACTTATCAAATTGCCTGTTAAAAGAAACTTGATTAAATATACATGTATATGTCACTTATAAACCTACTTTCTTATGTATGCTTTTCAATGATTTTCCAAGAAACACAAACCTAACGCATCTGCCTCCACTTCTGTTCTTCGCTTCGCAATTTTTTTCCGCAAGCTCTTCCTGGCATCTTTCAACATCTGTATCATTCGATGCAGGTGGCCCTGCTTCTTTCCAGTTGGGAAGTCTGCCTTAATACAGAATGCTAAGAAGTCCCCCAAGCTTTGCATGTAAGCTTTAACAGTGCTCGCCTGCCACTGCTCCATGGCTGTGTTGAACCAAACATCGAAGATTTGTTCCTCATCTACAAGATCCCCTACAAAGAATGTAGGGGTCTTCCGCACCACCTTCCAGATATTAAAAATATGGGTAACGATTTGGTGCGCCGTTTTTTCATCTTGAAGCGACAATGGGCCCTTCAGGGTCGCTTTAAATCGGGCCAGGATTGGAACTTGAATTAAAAAAAAGTTAATTTATATCTCTGATAGCAAAAAAAATATTGAATACATCATTCCATTTTAGCAACTTACTACATACCGGAAGCATAAAAAAGAAAGTATTAAATTTAATGAGATGGAAAGACCAAATAAAGATAAATAGAAATGATTTCAAAATTCTAGAGCATTGGCTTACCGTCGGTACATGATTGGTATTTCTCTCCTGGGCTTGGGCGAGGCCAGTAGAGGATCGTGTCGTCAGAGGACCTAAAAGAAATGAAAAGTCTCTGTAACATTATGTGACATTACGAAAGAAAAAAGAAAGGCAATGTAGGAAGTGAATCAAAACTGAAATGAAAGATATTTTTACCCTGATGGTTTGAGAATATTTCTAAATATTTATCTGATGTAACAATCAAATTCTATCACATTCCTTTATTCAAGAAAAATGAAGATACCAACCTACTGCTAGGAACTTCTTCCACTCTTTCCACACTCTTCCTATAAATAGCATAAAAATTTACTATCAACAACAAACAAGTGATTCATTTGTCAAAATCATCTTCATTGTTAAGATCTGAAAAGTATTGCAAATGTGAATATACTCACCCATAAATACAAGCTTCTCTAACTGTTTCCATTCTTCTGATTTCCTGATCTTCCCTACCAAAATGTCACAAAACACTTCAGCAAATTTAAAAAAAATATATTCAGAACAAGCTTTAATCAATTCTGCTTCAGACCGTTCTTTTCATCATCACTATATCCCCTATTACCCCTGACCAAGCATACCAAGACACCTTACCACTACTGTTTTCCTAGTATACCCTGAACAATTTTAAATTTACATAGTACACCCATTACTCCTAATCCTCACTAAATATATCCGAACTCTTTTCCCATTAGTCTCACCTAATATACCTCTACGCATTACCCATTAAACCCTTCCTCATACTCACTATTCTTTTTTTCAAATTCAATTGATTTCCGTCCTACCAGTTAGAAGGTCCTTCTCATCAAGAATTCATAGTAAGATTATTACCATTTGGCATTAATTTACGAATTTTATTTGAAACTTCAACGAAAATCCTGAAATAGTTTCCAACGGTATTTGGTAACTCCAAGTGCGGGAAATGGTAACATACACTCATTGAAGGCATATCTAATGGGTATGCCAAATGGATCAAGGGATTACAGCGTCAATGGTTTCATTATATTTAACATACAGGGAGATGATACCCTTTGCTTCAATAGTTTACCAAATCAAAGCAAATGAGTGATTTGCTAACTTAGAGCGTTATTTGGTAACCTAAAGCGATAATTGGCAACTTGTGCGGGATTGAGTAACTTGTGCGGGAAATGGTAACCTAGAGCGGGATTTGGTAACGATATAGCGGGAATTGGTAACAAAGCCGTATTGGGTAACGTGCGGGAAACGGTAATCTGATTGCATTTCAATATTTTCTATGGGGCAAAGGAAAGAAAAAGAGTATTACAATGTCAACTTGGTTGTTATCTGTTCTGTGGGATTTGAGAAAAGGGTCGGAAATAGTAACCAAGAGTTTGTGCATTAAATGGTTACTAAAATAACGGTTCGTTCGGATGCCTCTTAGATTATTAAATGGAATTGCCGAAGCTGAGTGACTAAGATGACAATAAAACTATGGATTATTTTAACCCTAATCCTTACTTAACTGTACAAAATCCTTGCTTATTTGAAAAATGCTTAATTTTTATGAGCAAAGAATTCCTGCTTTTATTCAATTTTACCCTTAATGTTTAAGAAAGGAATGCTTATTTTTACTGTGATCAATGAATTCCTGCAGTTACTGAATTAGTCTAACCCTTATCTTTAAGAACAAAAGAAACTTTTGTGTGATATTCAGATGCTTAATTCTTAATCAAATGTGATTCAGAAAGTTGCTGTATCATCACTATATCACTTGATAACCCCTTGTGAAACCTTGCAACGTGCAGCTGTCACCCATCCAAGTACTGATCATGCTTGACGTTGCTTAACCTGCATCATCAAGACGAGGGACATGTCGCATAGCAAGAAATGCTATCTTACTTGTAAATCAGTATAATTTCCTTTTATATTTCAGTTATTTTTTTTGGTTTCATTATTTTATTTTTGGTCAAATGACATACACTTAAACAATTACAATGTGGTTTATGATACACACTGAATTAAAAAATATTATGGGAAAAGTTTAAATTTTAATTTTCTCGAAGCAAGCTGATACGAACCGGTCCATCTCAGTTGTTTCTTCCAATTTTTCCAAGGATGCAGTGGGTGAGGATATGCATCTTTTTTCAGCTGCGTCCATGGTACTTTCCCTACAAACAGTTCAAATGATTATTCAGCTGTAGTGCAAATAAAATCAAATTTAAAGTCATACAAGTATGCTTGTGCTCACAAACCTTTCATCATCACTTGGGTCTGTAAGGTTCTCCAGGTGTAGAGAAGGTACACATTCATCACTACAAAATGAAGATATATGGATAATTGAAGAAATATATTTCTATACGATTGAATTAATGCTTCAAAATTCAACCTACGTCGTAAAGTTGTCCACAACTTTGGGACTTCGGAAGCGGAGGTCCTCAATGCGTTCTCTTTTGGAGATGTGGTGCGTCCTCCGCAGATGGTCCCCAAAGCGCGCAATGGCCTTGTTGCACAAAATACATTGGCGAACAATGTAACGCCCTTGCCTCACCGGTTTTTCAAACACCTCCTGCTTATGGACCTGCCTCATATGCCGCCGCATATGGACAACTCTCTTCCCACACTGTAAACAAGCATGTTTTTGTCGGAGTCTTTTTACAGTTTTCTTTTCCTTAACAGTCTTTCGGGTTGATGGTTTTTTCTTTTTACCTTTTCTGAACTTTGAAATTTCCTCCAGGGAAAATAAACTCTCTGAATCCTTTTCTGTGATTGCTTCGTTCAACATTCTCCTAAGCTCTCCTTCCCTGGAGGAAATCTGAGAGCCTTTAGTCTCAAATCTTCTATCTTTGGGGAGCGACACAGACGTTGAAACTCTGTCCAACTTGTGTGACCCACGCGCCATTTGGGACTGATGCTCCAACCATTTCTGTAGGCTATCCTCCTTCCACTGTTTCACAGACGATTCTTCGTTGGTATCATCTGGGAAAATATCCAAAAAATATGACTGTAACTGTTATTTAGGAAAAACATTGTTAAAAAATAAGTTCATTTTTTCTTCAGCATGATTTTATCCTTAGCAAACTTATATTCTTGTTTCCCTTAGATATATCAACTGCAAATTATAGAATATCTCCGATATTATTAGATATTATAGAATATCTAGGTCAGATTCATTACCAGAGAAACAAGGATCTTTATTTCCCTGGGACTCCGCCACATCATCTTCCATCTCTACTAAAAGGAATCACAAAATGCTCCAGTAATTACAAAATGCAACTCGATAAGATGATATGAAGGAGAAATAAATGATATATTATAAATATTAAATATCGTAAAATTTAAAAAAAAAAATTAATATATATTTGGTGTCTATTATCGATAGGAGAAGAAGCTGAATTAACTCCTACCTGGCACTTTTGGAATAAACCCTCCAGATCCTTTAGAACAAAAGATATATAACAAAATTGATTAGATCTCTATCTCTTCTACACACACACCCTTACAGAGAGAGAGAGAGAGAGAGAGAGTGGGGGAGGGAGGGATAGTATATTAATATATTATATATATCTTTGTTTCTATGAAAGTTAAAAACACTCTTTATGTGCACGTTAAGATGAAAGCACATGCTTTATTTTCAAGCAAACGAAAGGTGGATTGTTTATTACCTTGCTCCGATGTCATTTCATGAGAGCTATCCCAAATTTCTGAAATGAAAGGTATTATACAGTATAGCACAAATACAGCTTGTAATCAATCACGCTTACAGTAAAATGATTTTTATGTACTTCAAAAACGCATTATGCATAGAGTAGGCATAACAAATTAGTTGATATATTTGTGAGTGCTCTTGTGTGTCTTACTGATGTCAACGGGGGGGAT